GGGCGCGGGAGGCCGGGCCCGGGGCGGCCCCGGGAGGGAGGTGCGAGCAGGCGGAGAGGAAACCCGGGCAGGGGCAGAGAGGGAAGAGGCAGGGTGCAGATGAGATCCAGGAGGAAGAAGAGGTGGGTGGAGATGAGGCAGGGCCTCCGGCGGGAAGCGGAGGAGGAGGAGGCGGTGGTGGGAGGGAGAAAAGGTTAGCGGGCTCCTGAGATGACAGGGCTGCAAAGAGAAGTGAGAGAAGGAAGGGTTATGCAGGTGAGGCGGCCGGCGCGCGGCGGAGCGAGAGCCCTGGCGGCCCGGCCTCCCCCCGCAGGCCCCGGCCCCCGGGGTTGTGCAGCTGGCTCCAGCGGGGCAGCGGGCGGGAGGCTCCGGCTTGGATTAGCAATCATTCCCCTCGGGGGGTGGCTGCACCTTTCTCCTGTGCATCTGCCTCCACCTGCACCTGCTCCACCTGCCGCCGCTCCTCCTCCAGCTGCTGCTCGGCGCTCTGTGGACCGGCGGCGCACCCAGGGAAGAAAGAGTGGACAGCTAGCAAGGGGCCAGGGCCTGCTGGCGGCTGTCCCCCCGCCCCCGGGGCCCCCCACCTCAGGGCGGGCGGGCAAGGCGAAGGGAGGGCGGGGCCCCGGAGGCGGGGGAAGCTGCGGCCTCTTGTGCAGGCCCCTGGGAGCCTGGGAAGGGACTGGAGGAAGGGCCGAGAACGGGGCCCTGCTGGGGCCTCCGGGATCAGTCTGGCTGCTGTCACACCGAGCAAGGCCCTCAGGGGAGGGGCGGAAGAGGGGCGGGTGGGTGTGTGGCCAGGGTCGCCTCGAGGGGCACCTGGGAAGGCCTCACTTTAGGAGGACCCAGAGTAGAAATGAGGCCAGGGAAGGCCCAGGGCAGACACCACCCACATCTGGGATGCCCTCCACCGGCTCCCAGGGAGGCAGGAGCAGTGGGCTCGCTCTCGGCACCCTTGCAAGGCGGTGCCAGCCACTGATAGGGGATGGCCCTGATGGGGGTGGGGCGGGCAGGGGAAGTCACAGGTCGGGGAGGCAGACAGACAGACAGGAAGCCAGGGGCCATAAGTCTCCAACGCACAGGGACAGGCCCTGAGGAGGAATGGACTCCCTTCCTCCCCGCCTGGCTTGCTGCCCTGCCCCATCGGCCCTGCCCAATGGCCCTCGAGGCCTCTGACTGGCTCTGGGTTCAGGGTGGCAGGACCGCTGCTCAGCCCCCTCCCCACGGCCCGGCTGTTGCTGCCTCAAAGGCCAGGGCCAGAAACACATGGCTGGGCCCCATGGGGTTCCTGACCCCCCTCCTGCAGAGCACCTGAGGAAGGGGCCCAGGAAAGGGGCAGGATTAACAGATTTGGCTTCTCTGCCCTGGCCCAGACCAGGCTGGGGACATTTACTGGCCTCTGGGAAATACACTGGCCATTTGGATCCCAGAAGTTCTAAGCCTGATGGCACCACGGAGAGGACGTGGTCTACCCTCAGTTCTCAGAGAATATGACGGGGGGGCCAAGAGGGCTGAGGCTTGTCCAAGGTGCCCACACCCCTGGTTTCAAGAGCCCCTTTCAAACGGCATCTAGGTCCCTTCCTGCTGTGCCCTAGGGATGATCCCATTTCACTTCTCTCCCCCCCCCCCCCCCGCCTGGGCCTGGGTAGCCGGCGTGAGCAGATGGGACCATGGGTGGCATGGGATGGATGGCACTGGCTGTGACTGGGTGGTTATGTGTGTGCGGCAGGAGGAAGGAAGAAGCAGGGATGGCTAGGTGGAGGGCAGGGAGGGG